GACAATGCTACGAAGACCCAACTAGGTTCCATTTTCTTGCAATAAGACCCTATGATAGTTGAAATTGAACCATTCCTCAACCTTTTCTTTGCCTTTGGACCTTTGAAGTTCCTAAAAGTGTTTAATTAAGTTTGAATGTTTGGTTAGTGTTCACATTTGAGAATTTGGTAGCATTAATGTTTTGATTCAATTGCTTGTTTGCTTTCAATTGTTTTGGTGGTACTTAGTGCATGAATTTGTGAACCTTGTATTTAATTGAGCTTATGTTTACCTATTTTCTTTAATTTTCTTAAACCAATTTGTTGCTTGACCTTCGTCTTGCTCTGGGACCTTTAAGGTTTTTAAAACGCTTCAATTAATTTCTGACTGATTGATTAATGGTTGCTTTAGGGATCCTGAAAATGCAAGCGAAACCACTCATTGACCCGTATTTGATCATAGGCATTTAAATGTTTCTAATTGCTCAATTCCATGTTTATGTGTTAGATTGCTTGACCCCTGTTTTGTTTTGGACCTTTAAAGTTCTTAAATGTTCGATTGACTCGAATGTTTGGGTAAGGGTTATGTTTGAGTCCTTAATAGATGCTTTACTTGGAAATTGAATAGGCCATGCCTTCTTCTTGATCTTTAAGTACCTTTGACTACATTTAAGTTGTGATTTGAGGAAATTTTTGATGATTTGATGAATGCCATTTGGATCATTAAAGTGGTGCCTTAACCTTTTGTTTTGATGGTCTTAGCTTAAGCCGTCCTTTTCTTTGGTAACTTTGTTATATTCTACTATTTGAGGTACCTTGACCCTTTTATTATTTTGGAGGATAATTTAGTAATTTCATTACGTTAGGGGCGTCGCTTCAAGGGAGGTACACTCTATCCCTCATTTGCATTTCATTTGACCCTACGTGCTCCTACGTGTTATATGAATATGCATGCCTACTCCGCTTTCCTTACCTCCTTGCATGCATTTACTTGCTTTCACTTTTATTTAAGTTTTATGGGGTATGTGTACACCTCTTGGCTTGTAATAGATAGCGCTCGGAGAGCATCTTGTCCATTTCCCCTGCCCCTTTATGCTTTTATGGGGTATGTGTACACCTCTTGGCTTGTAATAGATAGGGCTCGAAGAGCATTTGGTCCATTTTCCCTTCCCCTTTATGCTTTTATGGGGTATGTGTACACCTCTTGGCTTGTAATAGATAGTGCTCGTAGAGCATCTGGTCCATTTCCCCTTCCCCTTGGTTGCTTGCTTTTGTTGTTACATGTTAAATTGCTTTAGTAGGCTCTTGCATCTAGTCGAGCATGCTAAGTGCTACGTGCTACGTGTTTACGAGCGTTTTGGCATGTCTACTTGCTTTCATAACCATGAATGAATGGAATGGATGAATGTACGTCACCACACTAGCCCAATGCTAGTTGTGGCTCATTTTTTATTAGGAATTCATAGAAAGGGCTAGTCCAACGCTAGACCCAATAGGAATTTTCCTTTGTTTTTCTTCGATAGTGCATATCTGCGTGTTCACTACATGTCATGCATTTTTCTTAGTTTTATCATTTTGCATGCCCCTCGAACCCCTTTTCCATCCATTTTAGGATTTTTGCATTTCATACTAGTCATAGGGTACATTTGCCTGAAGAGTCCCCTTAAATATGGGATATAGACGAGTGTGGCTTTTTCTAAAGCCTTAGCACGCTTATATCCTCTCTATAAAAGGGCAAATTGAGTCGCGATTTAGGTCTCCCCGTCCCAATATGCATGAATTCCCTAGGCTCATGCATTCTAAGTCCACTCCATCATTACACTTTCACTTTTCCTCCCATTTTTGCACACGTGCACCCTTGAGTTTCTTCACTTGCACACGAACACTTTTATCATTACTTGCACACATGCACTTCATATTATCATTTCACATACCGTACATTGCCCACTCACGTGCACACTTTCATTTACATATTTATTTTCTTTTATTACTTTTTCAAACTCATGTCCTCACATTGCACGCATGCATTTCATTCATTTGCATCCCACTTGCATTATTCGTGACTTCTTCAAAGGATTGATATTGGGCTTCACAATTAATGTGATTGGCACCACTCAACCTTTGAAGGGAAATTTCCCCCAATTCCCCTAGGTCTAGGGTTTGCATTCATGTAGGGCACTCAAATGTAATAAATTCTTTGGTTAAAACAAGAAAATCTTTGATTAAATCAACGCAACTAGCCTTGGCTAGGTCAAAGGGGTGCCTTGGATTCTATCCTTGCCTTCCCCTTTGTCAAACGTGACTCCCGAACCTTTTTCTTTGGTTTACGTAGACTAGGAGTCGTTTTAAAAAGGGTTTATTACTACTTGACTTTAAAACTCATTTTTGGGTGACTTGGTACACCTTAAACCATTACCAAGTGGCGACTCCAAACTTTTCATTTCAAAACCCTTTTTAAAACTATTTTTTGGCCAAATCGTCGCTTTCCAAAGTCCCATGGCCTTTACTTTTACTTTGCACACGTTCACACACCACACTTCACACATCATACATTCGACGATCGAAAAGTGGGGCGCGACAGTTGGCGACTCCACTGGGGACATTCGAGAGTCCGAGCAAATTTGATTTAATCAACCTTTTCCTTCTTTTAACCTTTTCATATATTACATTTGGGTGTTTTAGGGTTGCATTTTTTTTCCTTTTAGGATTTTGCATCACTCGCGTCTCAAACCAATCCCTCGACTCATGAATGTATGTTTGGATGTATATTTACTTCTTTATTTCGCGCTTGCATTGCATTTGGGAGGGGGTGTGTCACCTTTAGAGCCTCGCGTGGTTCTCAACCCCTTCCCTCAAATTAGGGGAACACTTCATACGTGCATATTTATTTGCTTTATCCCATTTTATTTGTATTTTCGTGGGCGCCATCCCACACCGCCTTGTAGGATTAGGATCGATTGCCTTGGGTAGGCGGATGGTGTGCTCTGCGCCCATAGCGCTACCTAAGGGATCACTCGAGCCACCGACCGAAGGCCCTGGGAGTGATGACCCTTCGCCTTTAGGTCTGAAGGCTTGGGAGCCGAAGCTTTATCGAGTCTAGGCATTAGTGAACCCCAGCCTCATGCATCCATATTAGAATGACCTAGGCTAGAGTCAGCCTCACCCTATTTTAAGCACATTAGGCACGAGGGAAGGGGTTCCACCCCTTTTACTTGCTTTATTGTATTTCTTCTTCTTAATTGTTCCCAATGTGTTATGTGTGCTATCAATTGCACTAACCATTCTTTTGTTTTCCTGGCTTGCATTCATATGCCTTAGCAATAAGAGGCCTCTTGGGCACTCTTTTAGTGACTCACCCACTAGATAGCTCACACGTCTAAATTTCAGTCTTTGCACTTACTTTTCAGTGAATACATTTCATGTTTAGACCTTTTCCCCCCGTTGCATTATTTATGTCCTTTAGCTCACATTTCATGTTTGTCACATATTTACATATCTTTAATAAACTGGCATCATGCATAAACCCTAGAAAGGGAATGCCATTTAGGGGATCCCGTGTTAGGAATAAACCACCCCATGTCTCGGATATATAATCCAAATGAGACTTGCACGTTTACCTTTCTCGTACCGTCCGAAGGGGTAGTGCACAAGGTAAGGTAGGATCCGATCATTTTCATAGAGTGATCTTTGGAATATGAGCATCTAATAATCATCTTTTGGCCATTTTCTCAAAATTGGTAAAATCCCCTTGCATAAAAGGACATTAATTCCAAGAAAATTCACAAATGATTCCTCATTGTTGAGACGATAAATATAGAGGCCAAATTTTGATTTTAGAGGCTCATAGACCAAGGCATTGTAATGATTTTTTGAAACCACCCAGTGGGCGAATAATTCAATCGATTTTTGAACAAATCATCCATCTTGTCCAATCCACTTTTTTTCAATTCATTCAATTTTAGTTCAATCTAATCATTTTTGAATAAATTCATTCATCAAATCATTTGACCAATTTACCCTTTTTAGGGTCATTCGGTCGATTTTGAATAAATCGTCAATTCATTTGACCAATTTACCCTTTTAGGGTCTTTTGACCAATTTACCCTTTTTAGGGTCATTCGGTCGCTTTTGAATAAATTATCAATTCAATTGATCAAATTACTTTTTTTAGGGTCTTTGGACCAATTTACCCTTTTTAGGGTCATTCGGCCGATTTTTGAATAAATCCCTAAATTCAATTTCATTCATTTGACCAATTTACCCATTTTTAGGGCAACCGAGCCGATTTTGAATAAATCAAGTTTCGTTCAATCTATTTGATCAATTTACCCTTTTTAGGGTGATCTGATTAATTTTGGATAAATTTCTTTGAATTCATTTGACCTGTTTCCCTTTTTAGGGTAATCCGGTCAATTTTTAATAAATTGTCAATTGACCAATTAGGGTTTCGATATCGAATTCCAAATTGGGAAATCTAGTCAATTTTGAGAAAACCATCCATTATATCCAACTATTTAATCAGTTGGGTTTTTGACTCATGCTTCACTGAGAAATTTTATCAAACGAATTCCAATCTCTTTGATAGAAAGTTCGTCAAGGTCAAACCGCGTTTTTGCAATATCTTGTATCGATCAAAAGTGATCAATCCATTCGAACGTTGACCTCATTTTGACGAATGTCTCTCGTCACTCCAATTGACCAAAATTTTTGAAATTATTCTTCACTCAATAAGTTGATCAGATCCATCAGGTATAGTATAGTGCCTACCTCAGAGGACTGCATCCTCATGCTAGGCCTACCCTTGGCACAAAAAGGGTTCCCCCATAGGACATGCATCCGAATTACTTTAATTGTTACTAACTCCTGTCTTTTCCTTTTTCCTTTTTCTTTTCTTTTTGACAGCAGTCAATCAAGAAAGGTATCTAATAAGGGTTTTCCTACATTCTCAGGTAGTGTATAGCTACCCGGAAAAGCCCCATTATCACCCGATCACGTAACCGAGCTTCAAGAGATAGTGTAAACATGAGTACCCATCCAGAATCATCTGATAGGCCCGCAACTACATCACCGACTGACTTGACAAATCTGGGAGCTCAATTGCGTGAAGTTCTAAACCGATTTAATGAGCTGAGCGTTGGAATGATGGCCCAACGGCGAGTAATCGATCAATTGGTAGCTAGTGGTGCTAGCGATGAACAACATGAGCCCTTACCTCCTGGCCAATCTGGACCTCAACCCATATTTTTACCTTATACTCAAACCTTTGTTACTTCACAAGTCATAAACCCCCCTGAGGAAGCCTTTACTTATTCCACTCATGGCCCGCAACCTGCTTATGTACCTCACATCCAAACAAACCCTCCTCATGTCCAAATTCCCCAAAATTATCCGCCAATTACTATGAGCATGCCATTCGAACCGCGGGGACCTTATTATTACCCCACCGCTGAGCCGTTCACCCTAGATACCGCTGCTCAAGGGAAAATTGAAGCCGGGGAGTCATCCGCACCAGTGGATAAGAATTTGCTAAAGCGATTGGATCGGTTTGAGGATTTCATAAGGAAAAACCAAGGCTTGAACAAACAAGGAGGGTTGGACTACAACGAGCTGTGCCTATTTCCGGATATGCAATTGCCCATGGGTTTCAAAACACCCAAGTTTAGCAAGTATGATGGAACGGGCAACCCCAAGACGCACCTCCGAATGTTTGCCAACAAGTTGGGCAAGCCAATAGATGACGAGAATCTACCAGTTCGTTTGTTTCCTGAAAGCTTAGAAGGTGACGCGTTGGATTGGTTTTCCAATTTGAAGCCTGAGGATATGAGATCTTGGATGGATTTGTCAACTGTTTTTATGAGGCAATACGAATACAATTGCGAGCTCGCTCCAACGAGGGCCACACTTGAGGGGACTAAAAGAAAACCATCTGAGGACCACAAGACGTACGCGAAGAGATGGAGGAAATTGGCCGCCAAGGTGGAGCCTCCTATGACTGAAAACGAGATTGTTCGCACGTTCATCAAAGCTCATGACCCGCCTTACTTTGAGGAAATTTTTCGAATGACCGGGTGTTCCTTTGCCGAAATTGTCAATAAATTGGAAGAATTTGATGAGTTTGTGAAGGCCGGAAAAATTATTAATGTGTCAACATTGAAGATGCAACTAGAGGCTCTGCAAGGCCAGAATGACAGTGGGAAAAAATCCCAATCTAAGGGAAAAGAAGAGGAAACTGCTTTTGTTGGGAATCAGGGCCCCTCGGCCAGACCTAGATTTTCAAACCGCCTTGCTTATTCATCACCCTATCCATACTACCCAAACTTCCGTCCTATCCATCATACCACTATTAACCATTCTCGACCTCGACCAAATTATCCAAATGTACTCACACCACCCTTTCAAAATCCTCAACCAAGTCTCCAAACTAGACCTCGCCCTCCTTTTAACCCAAGACCTATTCCACCCCCTAGCCCAAATTACTACTACCAACAAACCAGTGACACCCAAAATTCAACATCAAACCGAACCTTCACCAATCTAGGTCGGCCTGTTGACCAATTATATGAGCAATTGAAAGCTGTTGGGAAAATTGGTGTTATACCTCCTAAAATCTATTCCAATCGCTTTCCTTCTGACTATGACCCTCAAGCGGTCTGCGCTTATCATTCTGGGGCTCCCGGGCATTCCACCAACGATTGTCGGGCATTGAAACATAAAATCCAGGATATGATCGAAGTCGGAGAAATAGTGCTAAGGAAAAAGGGTGAACAGGGACAGAGCATAAGTACAAATTCCTTTCCCGAACACAAGGACGCCTTTGAGGCATCCAACCCCAATGAAGAAATTTGAGAATCCTGGAATGGGCTGAATTAGTGAGATTCCTCTCCCTTGAAGGGAATTTCGATAAATTTGGGGAGTTGTTTTGGTTAAAACCAATGAAAATCGTTCATACATGTGTCTTTTGTTTAACTATATTTTTTTGTAAATAGTTTTCAATCAAGTGATTGCTAAAGACACGTTTCATAAGTTTGGTTTTGTCTGGAAATTCAATAAAATGTACAGTTTTATATATTGTGACTTACACATTCTTTTCAGATGGCCCAGAATAAAATCGTCTGACCCTTTGGATATCACTGTTCAGAAATTTGATGGCAGCGATCTCACGAATGTGAATTTGAATTTCCAAATGAAAGGAGTAGGGGAAGAGACATTCGAAAATGTTTCAAAGAAGCCTGAATGAAAAAAAGAAGAAAGAAGAAGTTCAAGCAGAATCAGGATCGAGATTAGAAATAAGAAGCAGTTAAACACTGTCCATCATGGTCAATATGATCGAAAGGATTGGTCCGTGATTACTCTTAAAGGGTCAAATCAGGATCATTCAGGCGAGAAGACAAAGCACTAAGGTGAGTTTCGTCAGTACAAAATGAAGCCAAAAGGAGAGTTTGCCGCAAATGGGTATGGTGCTCTTATCATCAAAAGGGTATCGCCTGGTGGAGCACTTGTTCCCTCAATCAATCAATTCGGAGATGTGTAAGAAATTTTCATCTGATAAATGAAAGTTTTCTTTTAGAGTTAATGTGAAGAATGGAATGAGAGTCAGGCCCTCTTCTTTTCCCATTAAGACATTATATCCCTAGTTATCCCTTTTGAGCCTGCAGAATAGATCATTTCATTTGACAACCTCTGAGAATCGCAAACCCCACACTGGGGCAAATTTAGTTTGAAAGGAAAGAAAAAGAGAGAAAACCCCACATTGGGGTAAATTCAACTTTTGAAAGAAAGTCGAAAGAAAAGGAAATGAACAAAAGAATGCCTCAGTTAAAAATAAACTGGGGCAAATTTTCAAAATTTTGAAAGATGGGTGAAAGAAAAAAAAGAGAAAAGAAAGTGAAAGAAAGAGAATCTCAGTTGAAAATAGACTGGGGCAAGTTTTGGTTTAACCCTAAAATAGGGTTAACACGAAAATGCGATCTCAGATCTTTTGAACTACTTTTTGAAGTCTGCCTTCAAGCCTTAACCTTTCCTAGCACCTCACCAGACCCCATTACAAAAGCCAAAAAGTCATGGCTTCCGTTCTTGGCATTACCTCTTTTAAGGAGATTTTCTAAGTCACATGGCAAATGATGTCAATACGCCTTCACTCATATTGTAAGGGAAGGGGTTGTCGCACTGATGCCATTATTTCTTAAAACACATTTTTTGAGTTGGTAAAAGCTATTGGCAGGATTTGTTCATCAGGTGAAAATCCGAAAAGGGGACCTGTGAAAAGAAAAGGAAAAGAGAAGAAGAAGAGAAAAGTAAGCAAAAAGAATGGAAAAAGAAGTGGGAATGGCCTTAGTGAAAACCTAAAGGGGCGCTAAGGTAGAGTTTCATGAGAAAAGTGAGGTTGAAATTAGAGAGCTGGTGATTCGGTTCATTTGAGATTCCTCCTTGCATTGTGGTTTTCTGTTGCCGATATTGAACTCAGGGCGGATGATGTCTAAAGGGTCAAGCGTGGCATTTTGTTTGAAGTCGGAATACTTTGGTTTTTCAAGCGTAAATTGTCGAATTAAAGATTCATTTCTTTAAAATTAATTTTCTTTCAATAAAAAATAAATGATTTTCTTTCATGAGTTTCGTGGTCTTATTTATCTCTTTGAGTTCATTAGATGGCAACCCCCCTGATTTATCGGAAATCCCTGGACACTAAGGGCCTTATTAGCATTGGAAGTCAATGGAATTTGATCAGATCACAAAAAACAACGCTGAGTTTTCAAAATATCAGGGGAAAATATCGAAGCACTCATGTTTACACATTTCTTGAAGGAGGAATTGATCGGATGGTGGTGGCGTTACTTGCTGACTTCTTTTGCAGGTCCATGCTCATTTCAAATACCGCAACTGGGGCAAATTTTGAACTGTGAGATGTCGTCCAAGAACTGCATATTCATGATTTGAACTGAGGAAAAGGGCTGAGTCAAAGTTTTGAGGGAAAAATAATAATATCATAAAGCAGATCGAAGGATCGGTGACACAATAATTGAATTTTGGGCAAATCATTTTTTGAAAAGATTCTCCCGTATATCAAAAATTCGAAAATTCGAAAAAAAATTTCAAAAATTCGGAAAATTCAAAAGTCAAAAATCAAAAATCAAGTTCAAATTCTTGTCTCTTGGAAAGTCAAATTTAATTTCTTGCTTCTTGACAAATCAAATTCAATTTCTTGACCAATTGGATGGCAGGACTGGGTCTTATCCCACTGACCATTCACTCTATCACGTTGGGCTTGGTTTTCGTGCCACCAACATCACTTTATCACGTTGGGCCTGAGTTTCGTGCCGCCAACATCACTCTATCACGTTGGGCCTGGATTTCGTGCCGCCAACATTCCAAATATCAAGTTGGGCCTGAGTTTCGTGCCGCCAACATCACTCTATCACGTTGGGCTTGGTTTTCGTGCCACCAACATCACTTTATCACGTTGGGCCTGAGTTTCGTGCCGCCAACATCACTCTATCACGTTGGGCCTGGATTTCGTGCCGCCAACATTCCAAATATCAAGTTGGGCCTGAGTTTCGTGCCGCCAACATCACTCTATCACGTTGGGCTTGGTTTTCGTGCCACCAACATCACTTTATCACGTTGGGCCTGAGTTTCGTGCCGCCAACATCACTCTATCACGTTGGGCTTGGTTTTCGTGCCACCAACTTCACTTTATCACGTTGGGCTTGGTTTTCGTGCCGCCAACATCACTTTATCACATTGGGCTTGGTTTTCGTGCCACCAACTTCACTCTATCACGTTGGGCCTGGATTTCGTGCCGCCAACATTCCAAAAATCAAGTTGGGCCTGGATTTCGTGCCGCCAACATTCCAAAAATTCTGTTGGGCCTGGATTTTGTGCCGCCAACGTTCCAAACATCAAGTTGGGCTGGATTTTGTGCCGCCAACGTTCCAAACATCAAGTTGGGCCTGGGTTTCGTGCCGCCAACATTCCAAAAATTCTGTTGGGCCTGGATTTTTGTGCCGCCAACGTTCCAAACATCGAGTTGGGCCTGGATTTCGTGCCGCCAACCTCACAAAAATCACGTTGGGCCTGGATTTTGTGCCGCCAACATTTCACAACATCCCGCGGGTCTATCCCAATTTTAAATTTCTGTTCGGGTCTATCCCGTGGGTATATCCCAATTTTAAATTTCTGTTCGGGTCAGTCCCGATTTTAAATTTTCTGTTTGGGTCAATCCCATTTTAAATTTTGTCAAAGGGGTCAGTCCCCATTTCTAAAGCGTCCATCATTCGAGACGCTCGCAGCCGAATAACACAGGTAAGTATTTGGTGTCCACTTCTTTGTCTCAAGTTTTTTCAAAACTCGGACAAAGAGGGGCAAACTGTAGACACCAAATTTTGGGTAATTTTATGTGGCATCTATTTCGTGATTTTCATTTTAGATTGCTTGCATTCGTTGTTTACTTTTAGTTTTAATTTTTAGTTTTAGCTTTTAAGTTTAAAATTAGCGTAGAGTTTTTAGAAAAAAAGAAGAAAAGGAAAACATCAAAAATATGTTGTAGTCATTTTGTTTTTATTCAATGCTTTCTTGAAAAGAAAAATTCAAAAAAAGAGGAAAGGAAAGAAAAATCATTAAAAAAAAAGAAAAGGGAAATTTGTTCACAAAAATATTTTTTATTTCTTTAAATTCAACCCTTTTGCATTTTAGTTATTTTTATTAAGTTATTTTGAAAAAGGAAAAAAGAAAAATGAAAAATAAAAAATGAAAGCGAAAAGTAGAAAATAGCAGTTTTGCCGCTTTTTATTTTTAGTTTATTCATTTTCACTTGACAATTAATTAAATTACTGTTTTTACTTTATTTTACCATTTCGTCTTTTAATTTGGAAAAAAACAAGAGAAAAAGAAAAGGAAAAGAAAAAGAATAATTAGCATTAGCATTTCATTTTAATTTAGCTTTCTTCATTAGTTTTCTTTTATTATTATGTATTTTGTTAAATTAGTTATCAATTTTAATCAATTAATTTTCTTAAAAAAAAAAAAAAAAAGGATCGCAGCCTGCAAGCTGCATTTTTGGCAGCTTGCAAAGGGTTAGTTTCATGCGTGCCATGGAGGGGCAGGATGAAGGCAGAGGCTGGCCTTCATCCTGACCATTCAGGTAAGGGTTTGGGAACTTGGATTCCCATATAAAAGGCAACAAGAAGCAGCAGCCGTAGGAGAGGAAGGGGTTTTTGGTTGGAGAGCATCAACGGGCAAAAAAAAAAAAAAAAAAAACTAAGCAAGGGTTTTGGGTAGAGAGGGAGTGAACGGCAAAAGAAAAAGCTGAGAGCTGAGAGATTAGAGAGGGAAGGAAACAGCGAGGGTTTTGTGAAGGAGCAAGGACCAGAAAATTAGTTGATGGTTGAAGAGTAGAATCGAAGGGACGGCTGCATAAGAAAACTAGAGAGACACCGAAAGAGAGTTTGGAAGAGAGGATAGAGAGGATAGAAAACAGACGGCAAAAGGTTTGAGAAAGCAGGTAGAGGTTGACGGCTGGTTGGAGAGAGTGGACAGCAAGAGAAAAAGGACGGCTGGAGATCAAGTGAGGGAGATCACAGCTAAGGAAAAGGGGCAAGGGCTAGATAAGACGAATTGATTCCTGTCTCTGCACTTCATACGGTGCCCTTGAAGTTTCTTTCCAGAAACTTGCGTCTTCAAACTTGGCATCTGGGCGCAGTCTTCTGGATCCTTCCTTGGTCATTGAACTTCATAAGGTATTAAAGGTAATCCTTTTTGCCTTATACCTTTTTCCGCAAGCCCAGTTCTGCTTTAAGTAAAATCTTGCTGCGTTTTGTTCACTTTGATGTTTTTCTTACTATAACAGCCCA